TGTGTGAGCAACAAAAATTGATCTGAAAGTGTGGCATCCTCTTGTTCTCTGCGCTTTCACTGGGAGCTACAATCCCAAGCTGCTAGTGATCAGCCATCTTTCAGGGCTGATCTTAAATGTTAGAGCTAATGTGATATAATTCTCAGAAGAAAACATAAAGATGCGTCTTCATGACTTTGGATTTGGCAGTTGATTGTTAAATATGACACCAAACTCATGAGCAACAACAACAAAATAGATAAAATGAACTTCAAAATCAAAACTTTTTATGCTTCAAAAGACACTATTACGAAAATGAAGACATCCCCCAGAATGGAAGAAATATTTGCAAATTATATCACTCATGAGGGACTTGAATCGAGAATATATAAATAACTTACAATTCAATAAAAAAGAAAAATAATCCAATTTTAAAAGTGAGCAAAAGATCTAAATAGATATTTCTCCAAAAAAGAATATACAAGTGGCTCATAAGCACATGAAATGATTCTTGGCAAATTTAGGCATCAGGAAATGCAAATCAAAACTATAATGAGATATCATTTCATACCCACTAGGATAACTATAATAAAACAGTCAAATAACAAGGGCTGGTGAGGATATGAGGAAACCAGAATTCTCATAACATTGTTGGTGGGTTTGTTAGTTCATTTGCATTGCTGTAAGGGAATACCTGAGGCCAGATAATTTATAAAGAAAGTAGGTTTATTTAGCTCACAGTTCTGCAGGCTGTATAAAGATGGCACCAGGTTAGGCCCAGAAATCTTTCAGTCATGGTGGAAAGCAAAGGGGTAGCTAGCACATCACATGGTGGGAGCAAGAGAGAGAGAGAGAGAAGAGGAGGTACCATGCTCTTTTAACAACCACTTCTCACTTGAACTAACAGAGAGAGAATTCCTTTGTTACCATGAAGACAGTATGAAGACATTCACGGGGGATCCTGCCCAATGATCTAAACACCTCCCACCAGGCTTCATCCCAACATTGAGATTTGGAGGAGACAAACATCCAAACTCTATCAATGGGAATGTAAAACGGTACAACCACTTTAGAAAAACACTTCACTAAGTTCCTCAAATTGTTAAACATAGAGTTACCATATCACCCAGCAATGTCACTTCTAGAAATATATTGAAGAGACCTAAAAACAATTGTCAGCACAAAAATTTGTTCATGAATATATATAACAGAATAATATCCCAAATGTGGAAGCAACCCAAATGTCTATGTGATAAATGATAAAGAAAATGTACTGTATCCATACAATGGAATACTATTCTGCAATCAACAAAAAGAAAGCATTAATACATGCATACTGTGAGAGAGATGATTGTTGAGATCGTTAAGCCCAGTGAAAGCAGCTAGTTATAAAAGATCACATATTAGGTGATTCTGTTTTTATGAACTCTCAAGAAGACGCAAATCAATGGAGACAAAGTTGATTAGTCATTGTTTAGGGATAGGGTGGTAACTAATGGGTACAGTTTCTTTTTGAGGTGATGAAAATGTTCTAAAATTCACTATAGTGATGAATGCACATAACTATTAATATACTAACAATCATTGAATTGTTTTTTGTTTTGTTTTATTTTATGAGATGGGGTCTCACCCTGTCACTCAGGCTGGAGTGCAGTGAAGCAATCTCAGCTCACTGCAACCGCTGCTTCCAGGGCTTAAGTGGTTCTCCAGCCTCAGCTGGATTCTCCCAGCTCAGAGTAGCTGGGACTACAGGTGCATGCCACCAACTCCTGGCTAATTTTTGTGCTTTTTGTAAAGATGGGATTTCATCATGTTGCCCAGGCTGGTCCTCCCAAAGTGCTGAGATTACAGGTATAAGCCACCATGCCCAGCTGAATTATATATTTCAAATGGTTAATATGTAACTTATGTGATTATGTCTCAATAAACTGTTAAAAATATTCTATTCAACTGTGTTTTTTTTACAAAGTCATAGTACATCTCTAAAGCAAAATCAGATATAATTTGAATAATATTCTGTTTAAAATATTACAAAATCTTTAAGAGTTATAGCTAAAAGGGCTATAAAATCTGAGTACCTAAATTCATATTCTAGTTTTACTAGTTATTATTGCATAATTTGAAGCAAATTATTTAATCTGAAAAATGTGTATAATAAAAGTATCCATAATGTAAGTTTGTTGAAAGGATTAAGTGAGATATAACATCAAGTGATCAATACATGTTAGGTTCCGTGTTATAATTATTATTGCTATTAGTTGGGCCCCAATGTTATTAACCCACTACAAATTCATTGTGTATCAGCATTTTGCAGGTACAGAGGAAATATAAACACTGTCCCAGACTCAAGGAGTTGACTCAATACTTTAAATTGCCAATCTTTTTGGTACCATAATAGTATAAGAGAAAAGACAATGAGGGCTGGAATAAACAAAGAGGGTTGTCTGGTTTATGTGAGACCTAAGTTGGAGAAGAAGGTAAATTTCAGGACAGGATGGCAACTTGAGAGAGAGAGGTGGGAGGGAGAGTATCGTTAGAAGAACTATGAAGAGACTGGTGTAGAGCAGGTGCTGGAAAGAGATGGATGACATCTTTGTATGAGTACAAAGGGCCCAGCTATGCATGATAGGTTCAAATGTTTAAATGTTTTGGGGTATTAAGAATATTTTTTTATTTCATAATGAAGTAAAACTTTGCCATATTATCACCATTGGGTTAAAACTCATGTAGCTGCGAGTTTGAGAGTTGGAGAAGGTGTTTGTTTGAGACAGGGTCTTGCTCTTTTGCTCAGGCTGGAAGTCCAGTGGCACTATCAGGGGTTCACTGCACCCCTGACCTCCTGGGCTCAAGCAATCCTCCCATATCTCAGCTTCCCGAGTAGCCGAGACTACAGGCACATGCCATCACACCCGCTAATTTTTGTATTTTTTGTAAAGGCAGGGTTTCACCATGTTGGCCAGGCCGGTCGTGAACTCCTGAGCTTAAGTTACTCACCCGCCTCAGCCTTCCAGAGTGCTAGGATTGCAGGCGTGAGAGTTGTATTAAATAACCATTTAGTCTTGTAATTTTATTTTTTATCTCTGATTCCACTGGGCTTTTGATCAAGTGGCAAAGTCCCTCCTTTAGTGGGAAGCGTCAAAGAAAATTCACACTGGACAACTTAAGAAAGGCTTTATTTAAGTCCATTGCAAAGGGGTCAAGACCATTACAATAGAGGACAAAAATTGAACACATCTACTCCAAAACAAAAGGCTGGAGTGTTAGTGCTTGTTGAGGTGAGCTACTGGAAAAGTCTTGGAGGACATTAGCACAGAGGTTGGTTTGTGTGCCTAGGCCATCTCTGTTTGCTAATTGGTGCTTATTGAAGTTAGGCATCTGTCTTATCAGGGAGACTGGAAGATAGGGCTGCTGTTTTTCTTGGTGTTTACATTTCAAAGGGATGGTTTCCATGTCCTTGAGAAAGGTATTCCTTGGTTGTAAAAGATTTACATCTCAAAGGAGGCAGAGGAAGAATTTACAATTGCAACTTTTCTAAATTGAGTGTGTAAGAAAAGACTGGTCGGGGTCTTATAGTCAGGAAGAAATTTTCTTTCTTTCTTTCTTTTTTTTAAATAGAGACAAGGTTTCACCATCTTGGCCAGGCTGGTCTTGAACTCCTGACCTCATGATCCACCTGTCTCAGCCTCCCAAAGTGGCTGGGATTCGTGAGCCACAGCGCCCAGCCCAGAAAGAAACTTTCTAAAAGTTTCGTCAAGTTGAGGGGAACATTAAGGCCATAGTGGTCAGAAGATACTTTTTTAGCGATTTTATTATGTGGAGCCAGCCATGGAGTGCTGATAACTCTTGGAAATATATATTTTAAAAAAAAAATTGTGCAATGAATTGTTTTTAGGACAAAAATATTCTGTGTATAATTTCCTGTCAAATAACCTAAGGGGAGATCTTTATTTTGTTTCTCTCCGGATCTCAAGTGCTCTTTGTTATTTTTTTTCCTTATCAGAAAAACTATGCCCTGAGGCTTTTCTTCTTCAGGCAATGCTTTAATGTAAAATTGAGCTTTATGTGCTGTTACAAGTCTCATTTAACTTTCCATTTTCACTTAAGAAACCAAATGGACTTTCAGGCTGCCTTTATGCTGGTAATTAGGGCAACTTGGTGTGAATCTCAATGTGTTTGAGTGGTAGCACATATTAATACATTACTCTTGTCCTCAATTTCATCACTATTCAAATGCAGCATCCTACACAGTATAAACATTTTTGACACTCAGAAGAACCTTGTGGATGACCCAGACCATACTAACTAGCAATTCAACTTACAATTCTATGGTGCACTATTATTTGTAATCACTTTTAAACATGTAATCTCATTTTGTCCTCCTCATAAACACAGTGGTAGGATTTATTTTACAGAGGCTGCCATACAAATGGCAAGACTTGACTCTGGCCTCTGGCTCTTAGCTTAATGTCTAGTTAGAAAATTGTGAAGAATTTTTTAGATGTAGATATTTAATCAGCCTGCCCTTGAAAATCACTACACTTCCCATTTTTAAATCCTTAATTGGGATATTTCTCAAATACTCAGCTTATATTGGTGATACAATATTACGAATCCTTCATAATTATTGAAATCCGTCTATTGGGTCATCTTACCATGGGCATAAGGATTCAAGCTAAAGGCACACGATTTTGTTTAAAAATAAAGTTTATAACAAAATAAGATTAACAAAAGTACATTTATACTTCCAGAAGTAAAACTCAAAAATAGCCTGTGGCATTGAAGTCATTTCTGAAAAATTCTGCATATGCTTTGGCATATCTTAGAACTTTCTATATGTCTAATATAATATAACAAATATTTCTATGTTAATATCCATCCAAAAAGAAGCAATTTGACACACTGTAGATATAGGCAGAAAAACGTAGTTTTGAATATTTCATTCTGAAATAGACACCAAGAAAAATCTTGTTAAATATATGTAGCCTAATTGCTTATGTTTGAAATATGTGTTCTATCATCAGGCAACCCTGCTCAGCCCACTTCCCTCCACTACATGAATCCTTACCAGCTGAATGCCTATGGTATGGCACTGAAAGCAGTGGGAGAAATTGTTCAAGATTATGACAGTGATAAAATGTTTCCAGCTCTAGGTTTTGGTGCAAAACTGCCTCCAGATGGAAGGATATCTCATGAATTTGCTTTGGTAAGAATATATCAAAAGGATACCTTTTAATATTGCTTTGGAGTTTATTCTTTAGTTATATAGCAAGCTTTTCTGACTGTAGCTAAATTTTGGTAAGTAATTGACATTGGAATGTGAGCTTAATGGGAAAAAGAACAGCTAAATAGCTTAGCCATAAATCTACCTGAAGTGCACCCACCTCATTTACAAATAGGGGGTCTATTTGGTTATCTATTGCTGTATAACAAACCTTCCTAAAACTTAGAGATATAAAACAATATCATTCTATTATGCTTATGATTTGTGGCTCAGGAATTCAAGCAGAATGTAATGGGAGATAGCGTATTTTTTGCTTTGTAATATCTGGAGTCTTAGTTTAGGTGATTTGAATGGCTAGAGATGCCTGGAATTGGTGACTGGGGTCATATTTTTCAACTTAGTTCTGGCTGTCTGTTGAATTCCTTAGATCTTCTCCATGTTATGTCTTCTGGGGCTGATATGTCTCCTAACATGACTTCTTTGCTCGTGTTCATTCATGTCTTGGGCCTAAGATGGAATAGCTGAAAAGCTGGGGTTGCGTAGACAACTCTCTCTTGCTTTACATATAGCCTGTCTCTGTAGTTACAGAGGGCTTCATAATTGTGTGGTGGTCTCATTGTAGTAGGATTTTTTATGCAGCAGCCAACTTTCCCAGGGTGAGTATTCTAAAAGTCTGCGACAGAAACTCCAAGGATGTTTATATCATATTCTTAGAAGTCCCAGAATGTGATTTCTGCAACATCCTATTGGTCAAGCAAATTATTAAGACCATCCCAGGTTCAGGTAGAAGAATTAACCTTCACTTCACAATGGAAAGAGTATCAAAGAATGCGTGGCTATCTTTAATCTACCATTGTTTTTAAAAGCTAAGAAAATAAATAATTGTGTTAAATTCAATGAGGTTTATTAATTTTCCTTTCATATGTTTCTCTCAACCTTGAATTTGTCCCTTTCTCTGTCTCTGTAATTCTCTCCTTTGCTGCCTTTCCTTCCTCTATGTTCATTTCTTATAACCAAACCTATAATAAAAATATACAGGTTGAGCATCCCAAATCGGAAAAGTAAATGCTCCCAAATCTGAAAAAGATGCTCAAAGGAAATGCTTATCAGAGCAATTTGGATTTTGGATATTCAGATTTGAGAAGGTCAACTGGTAATTATATAAATATTTTAAAATCCAAAAAAAGAAATTCAGAATCTAAACACTCTGGTTTCAGATAAGGGATACTCAACCTGTCCTTAACACTTCCTGAAGTGTTAAGGAAGTATTTGTGCCTTACTTTCTCCTCCTCCTCCTCCTTTCTTCTTTCTTTCTTCTTCTTTCTTACTCCTTCTCCTTCTTCCTTCTTCCTCCTCCTCCTTCTTCCTTCTTCCTCTTCCTTCTACCTCCTCCTTCTTCTTCTTCCTCCCTCCCTCCCTTCTTCCTTCCTTCCTTCCTGCCTTCCTGCCTTCCTCTTTCTTTTTTCTTTTCTTCAACAGAGGCTTGCTCTGTTGCCCAGGCTGGACTGCAGTGGTGAGATAACTCCGCCTCCCCAGTTCAAGCAATTCTCGTGCCTCAGCTTCCTGAGTACCTAGAATTACAGGCATGCATAATACCTGGCAAAATTTTGTATTTTTAGTAGAGACAGGGTTTTCAGTGTGTTGGCGAGGCTGATCTCAAACTCCTCAGCTCAAGCAATCTGTTCGCCTCAGCCCCCCAGAGTGCTGGGATTACAGGTGTGAGCCACTGTGCCTGGCCTTCATTTGTTCTTTGAGCCCAGTTAAAACACTTATAGGATAGATTTTGCTGGGGCTTCGATGTTTCCTTCCAGAGTTCAGGTGCTGCTAATGTAATAATATTCAGTGAGGCCTTTAAGAGCTGGTTGGTCTGCAAGGGCTCCTCCCTCATGAATGAAATTAAGGCCCTTATAAAACAGGCTTTACTCAGCTTGTCCTGCTTTCTGCGAAGTGAGAACACAGCATTCCTCACCTTTGAGGACACAGCCCTTACCGGGCAACTGAACCTGCTGGCATCTTGATCTTGGACCTTCTAGCCTCCAAAACTGTGAGAAATACGTTTCTATTGTTTATAAATTACCGAATCTCAGGTATTCTCATATAGCACAAACAGACTAAGAGAGGTCAGACTTCTTTAAATCTATGAAAAATAGTCTCCCATGCTAATGATGAATATAAGAATGATTATGTTGTTGATGATGATAATGTTTCAACTTTAGTCTTGCCTGATTATATTACTTTAAATTTTTTAAAGCACTTTTGTTTTCTCAGATAAGACAAGGGTTGAGTAGGTTTTCAGTGAAATAGTATTAGACTCAATCCTGAGTATTTACTGAGTATCGGGTCACACACTTTATACTCATTATGTTATATAATCATCTCAAAATTCCTATGTGATAGATATTTCATGCTGACACATTGCACTGCTCTAGAAACTGCCAATCTCATTACCTGTGGTGAGAAAAGTGCTCCCAGGAGTTGTATAACGCAACTCAGAGGCTCAGAAGTTGACCATTGTCCCAAAGGACAGGACTTGAACCCAAGTCAGTATTATTTTAGAATTCATGCTCTTAACTACAGCTAAAACACATCTTAAAAAAGCATCTGTAATCTTACCTCTTGGATACTTGCTTATGTTAACACCATGATATATGTACTTTTATGTAAGATTTCATCTTTCTCAAATATGTTTTAAGAGCAGTATTACATTGTTATTTTTGTATTTATTCTTTTCTATTTTGTCACCTACAAAATTTCAAAAGAGGTTGCTGGAGGGCTTAATTCTTTCTTCCGTGAAATAGCCCACATGCCACACTCCCAATGTCATATAAAAATGAGTATCTTTTGGGATTTTGTTGTGTCTTAGAAAATTAAAATCTCCAGAAACTTATAAAACCATGAAAATCACTCATGTGATTCTAAATCTAAAGTGCCTCAGGAAAAAGGTCATGAGCTATTTTAAAGACTAAGAAAAGGAATAATTGTGTTAAGCTAAATGAGAGTTTGATTAATTTTCTTTCTGTACATTTCTTCTGCTAGTGTGTATTTTTTCCTTTTTCCCTTCCTCTACTTTTCTCTCTTTCTGCTTTTCCTACCATTTACCCTTTGTAACCAAACCTATAAAAGTATCTCCTGCTAAGGAATGATATATATTATTTATACCATAATCTGTTCCTTGAGCCCAATCCAAACAATTATGGGACAGAGATCATACCCCTTTAAATCTATGAAAATGTCTTTCAAATTAATGATGAAAACAACGATTGTTGATGATAATGCCTCAACTTTAATATTACAGAATGATTAATTTTTTTCAAAGCAGTTCTGTTTTGTTGGATAAATAAGGCAGGTATGGTTAAGTAGGTCTTCAGTTAGATAGTATTGTATTTGATTCTTGCTGAAGTGTCCTGTGCTAAGCTTGTCCTAAATTACTGCAATATGTATCTGTAGGTACTGAAAATGGCAAATACAAAAAGTTCAGTTTCAGGACAGCCTGGCCTTTCATGAACTACCTGGTGTTAATAAATCCTCATATTTCCATGGTACAAATTTGTGGTATATATTTACTAACATTAACCTATTTATCTCACCAAGTTTACATAATTCTTTTAGATAGCAAGGGAGTCTTCTGAAGAACTTAAGTATCCCCCAGTGTGTAAGTATGTGTAAGTTTTGGCTAGCACAGATGTTAAGCTTTGCTGAGTTGAAAGGGTCTCAGTAAACCTCAGCTTTTTATGTGAGACACACTATGGGAAAAGAAAAAAGAATAGGAGAGAAAAGGAAGAATTTCCTGATATTACCATTCCAAGACTTACGGTTATGAAAAGAATGAGTCATTGCTCTCCGCTCATTATAATTCTTGAAGACTCCTTTTGGGGTTGTAACTGAAAATGCCATCACGCGGAGCTCTGGTATATTTCTAATGACCTTGTGGCCAGTGGTCGTTAATAGCAGGTCTTCCACGTGGACCAATAGAGAAACGCTAACACCTGTCCAAGTGGTTTCTCCTGCTAAATACCTAAATGCACTTGCATGCTTTTCGCTTATTTTGGCATTTATACAAATGTATGCAATTTAATATTTATGTGTATGTATTTTTTTCTAAGTAGACACCAGCAATTTAATAACCAAGAAGTCTTTAACACTGTACCATATATAAAACAGAAGCTCAATAGGTGATTGTTTATTGAATAAAAGAAAGAATTCTCTCAGCTTTTCCCGACAGTAAGCAACAGTGACATTTCAGAATAGAGCGACAGCCCCTAAGAGCTTCTCTTCAGTATTTTGTCAGCTTGTTAGCCCTGCTGAAAAGTGTCACAGGCTGCAGGCAGCAGGCGGCAACAGAGATGACAGGCTTCTTGCATGATGCCGAATCCACACCCTCAGGACAATCCCTGAGGGAGCTAAATGGGAGGAAGAATGGGTGAGCGCTGGACACCCTCCCCACTTCAGTCTGAGTGGTGAGATTATTGATCATTTTAAAGTCAGATCTTTATGCTTTTCTATGTGTTCTACAAGTTGACATGTATTATTTTATAAATGGAAAGTTTAATTAGGAGGGAAATAGGAAATAGGGCATCCATTGTCCTCTTTATTAATAAGCAACAAAATTAAATGTGCAATTAAAAAAAATTATCCATGTTTTATTTTTGTGTCAGAGCCACACATGGACTCATTCTAATTTGTTTTAACAAGCAATAACTAATTCCCTGCATAACATTTTCAAGAAATGAGTTTTTAAACACACTTAAAAATCTATTTATTTCAATAGTTTTGGGGGAACAGGTGGTTTTTGCTTACATGTGTAAGTTCTTTAGTGGTGATTTCTGAGATTCTGATGCACCCATCACTTAAGCAGTGGACTCTGTACCCAGCGTGTAGTCTTCTGTCCTTCACCCGCCTCCCACCTTTCCCCCTCGTCTCCAAGTTCATTATATCATTCTTATGGCTCTGCATCCTCATAGCTTAGCTCCCACTTATAAGTGAGAACATACAATATTTGGTTTTCTATTCCTGAGTTACCTCACTTAGAATAGTGGTCTCCAACTCCATCCAGGTTGCGAATGCCATTATTTTCTTCCTTTTTATGGCTGAGTAGAATTTGTGTGTGTGTGTGTGTGTGTGTGTGTGTGTGTGTGTGTGTGTGTGTGTCTATACATTCCAAATTTTCATTATCCACTTACTTGTTTATGGGTATTTAGGCTGGTTTCATATTTTTGCAATTGCAAGTTGTGCTGCTATAAATGTGTGTGCGAGTAACAGACTTTAAAGTCTTTATAACTCATTATAACTTTCTCGTTAAGAAAATCTCATTTAGTAGCCATAAAATATTTAAAGTAATCTTGATATAATCCAGACCATATACTAAAAAGAAGGCATAATTTTATGTTGTAAGGTATTCTTATCATCTAAGACATATGAGGAAACCATAGAGCAACCTATTATGGTATTAGGACTAATTCAGAAATCAGTGCTTTAAACATTCCATGATGATGAATAGAAAATCTAATGATTACCTTTCCACTATCAAAGGAGAGAAAAATGATGACCTTGTAGTTTCAGTTCCAGAGAAATAGTGGTAATGTACAGTTTCATCAAAATGTAAACCTCCAGTCAATATGCTAAAAAATAAAAGTAGCTCAGGACTACCCTAATTTGTAACTATTCCCTTAAGATAGATATATAATACATTTTTATATGCTCAAAATCAGTAATGAGTTTTAATTTTAATTAGCTTCATACCTTATCAAGGGAAAAGAGCACCATAAAATCTTAAAGGAGGGTTAAATAGGTCGCCTCAGATTAACATCAAAACTAAACATTAACTGCTTTGTGCTAAATGTTAAACTTTTCTTTTACATTCTATTTTCAGCCAAGTTATACAACCACTTTTATAATGTAAAGAGGGCTTTTATTATTTAATGCCTTAAAAAATGTATGAGGGTTAATAAAATGTTTGAAGAAAAGACAAAATTAAAAGAAAAAAATAGATATAAATCCCTCTCTACCAAATGATAAAATAGAAATAGTTAGTAACATTTGGCTCAGTTTTCTAAGATTCCAGCCTTGTAGAAAGCTTGGCATCTCATAATTTGGTGGCATAGTGGTGTATAAGAAATTGAACTCTGGAGTTAGACCGCCTGGTTCAAATATTAGCTCTCCTAGTCGTGTTGTGTGACCTTGGGCACAGTAAGTTCTCATTACCTTGGTTTCTTTATGTATAAAGTGGGGTTAATGGCAGTCCTACATTTTTAGGGTTATGAAAGTTATATGTGTAAATATTTTAGTATAAAACCAGCACTTTGGGAGGCCGAGGTGGGTGGATCATGAGGTCAAGAGATTGAGACCATCCTGGTCAACATGGTGAAACCCCGCCTCTATTAAAAATTAGCTGGGCATTGTGGTGTGAACCTGTAGTCCCAGCTACTCAGGAGGCGGACACAGGAGAATTGTTTGTTCAGGTAAAAATATGTATGCTAAAATTATTGCTAACCATGTTTAAATGTAGTTACTATCACTAGTGCATAAAAAGTATATATATACATAATTTTGATATTCCCTTTAGAAAAGTGGACGGTATCTCCTTTTTCTCAAGTGTGAACAGCTTCAGTAACTCATTCTAGCAAATGCATTAAAGTAGGAGTGATGGAGTGTAACTTCAGAGACTGGCTCATAAAAGGCATTGGGGCTTTGTCCTTGCTCTTTGCTTGGGATTACTCAATCTGGGGAAAGTTAGTTGCTATGTTATGAGAACACTCAAGCAGCCCTGTGGAGCATCCACTTGGCCTCCTGCCAACAGCCATGTCAGTGAGCCTTTTTGGAAATAGATCCTTCTGTCCACTGTCAAGCTTTCAGATGACTGCAGCCCAGGTCGGCATCTTCACTGCAACCTCATGAGAGATCCTGCTCAGGAACTACCCTGCTAAGCTGCTTCTGAATTCCTGAGACTTCAAAAATGTATAAGATAATAAATATTAATTGTCTTAAGCCACTGTACAGAGGGTATAACTTTGGGGGTAATTTGTTACATAGCAATAGATAACTAATACATGTTCTTATTTGTGTTATTGGTATCATTTGGACTAGGAGAATTAAACCTAATAACGACAGAGCATTTAAGGTATGAAAAAGCCAGCCTAGGTGTCCAGGGTTAAAGTTGCCTTTCCAGGTCCTGTCACTAGAATAAGAGCTTCCATTAAAGTTGCCTTTCTGGGCACTGTTCTCAGAATAAGAGCTTCTTAGCAGCAACAGCAAGCCCCATGTCCCTTGAATGACATGAGTATTTTTTTTTATTCCTTTTCTTTTGCCTTGTCTTGATGTTTCCTACACCAAATTACATTCCCTCTGACTCCTTCTCTACTTGGAGTTATGAATTGTGGCCTGAAAATATTCATGTGGCAGATATTTTACATTTTTCCTCTATTGGGTTAAACTACTTGAATTGATAGCATTTATTTATCTAATTTTAATACATGTTTACTGCATAAAAATTGGAAAAACATAGACCAGGTTAAAGGATGCAAGGAAAGTTATCAGTTATCTAACCACCTAGAAGTAACCACTATTAATACTTTGGTTTTCTTTTTAGGATTTCTATATGTTTATCTCCACATCTACACAAACCTGTGTAAATAAGATACTATTAATTTTAGAATGTTGTGGTGGTCAGCTTCTCTTAATATTATTTAAAATTTTCTTCTGCCATTTTTTTTAAGAGTACGGATTTTTAATGATTGCACATTGTATGTTATGATCTTCATAATATATCATAATCTATTGTTGATCACTTAATGTATTGTTTTGCTATTGTAAATTTATAAATGAGTGTTCTTCCAAAAATATTTGAGTATCAACGTGTATTATTCTCTTGTCCTTTTCAATTGATATTTATGGAGATTTTCTCTTTTACTGTGGTTTTGTTTTTGCCTACATTTCTACAGAATGGGAACCCTCAAAACCCCTACTGTGATGGCATTGAAGGGGTCATGGAGGCTTATTACAGGAGTCTGAAATCTGTACAACTATATGGGCCCACCAACTTTGCTCCTGTGATTAATCATGTAGCAAGGTAAGTAGAGAATAGACAAGGTGTCAATTCTGATATACTGGACCATGGTGAACTCAAAACATTATTGTTAGCATATGAAAGTTGTTTTCTTTTAATTTGCCTCCAAGAAAGTGAAGAAAAAAATGTATGTTAGAGTTTCTATCAAACTATTGTGATACTTTGCTGAGAAGAGTACATTAAAATCTCAAGAAACATACTCCGGGTTATGTTAGGAACTATCTTTGTTCAACTAAGGAAAATGTTGTTTTCTTTGAAAAGGCATCTGTGAGAAAAATAACAAGATCAATGGCGAGCTCAACAGTGTAAGTCATTCATCTCTAATATCACATTCCATAGTAGCAATAAGTAGCATAGAAGTAATAAGAGACTGAATTCTATTAGCCGACTATTTGAAGCTTTCAGTGATATATAGGGCACATTATTTTAACCTTTCTGAAATTAATATAGTAGCTAATTTTATAAATTCCCAGAGCTCTACCTGTATATAGTACATAGTACTGAGACCAGAATATAATGCTTATGACTCCAAGTACATGTTCTGAAGAAAATGTTAAAATGTAAAAAATAAATCTATATATACTGTTTTTTCATTAGTACATAAATGGATTAAACTCTTTTTAAATCCCTAGAAAATTCGGCCTATGTAAATCCAATGACTCCCTGACTTATTTAGAGATAATTAGAAATTTCTTATCCTTTCAAATATGTACCCAGAACTCATCAAAATACCGAATTTTTTTTTCACGTTTATCAAGTATAAAGGCAATGTGAAACTCCAGTTCTCTGAAGGTTCTGGTACTTTACTACCTTCTCTAATATTACCAACAACTACAGTGTGCTCTACTTTTCATTATCTGGGACATGGACAAAATGCTAAAATATCCCTTACACCCAGGGCTTACCCCAGTGCAGCTTCCCTGTGGAACTCCAACTTAGGTTGACAGTGATACATTGATGACTGTTGTCTGAGTGTGACCCTTTGGCTTGAATTTTTCAGACATTTTCATCTGCAATCTCTACCAAAATATGAATTGTATTAATACATCTTAATCTTGTACATATATGACCCCCCACACAAAAAAAGTTATTCATGAAATGGTACTTTATGTTTTATCTTTATTTCTATGGCACTTGTTCTTTTCTCTTTTTTGAAAATGCAATCTTGACCCCCAAATTGATTTCATAATCCACTAATGATATATCCTAGTTTATTATACTAGCCTATGTAAGTAATGTCACATATACTGTATACTGATGGCAGCCAAATATAGCAGAATACAATGTTAATGCAAGATAAATTATAATTGACTGCCACACTACCATAGAGATCACTTTTTTATAAAAAGAGAAAAATGACAGGACTTATTTTGTGGGAACTCGTGCTTATGATTAGGAAGGCCCTTATCAGTGCTTACCAAGTAATTTCATAACTTTTCCTGGTATATGTCTATTATAAAAGTTAAAATATTAGATATAAAGTTTCTAGGTGCATTTCTATATACATTTCAAACCAAATGCTCCACAGTGTTCTATGATATTTTTTATGTTTTATACAGCATTTTGTAAGTTCTTGAATATAGGAGCAACTGCTAGTAAAATCTTTAAGACTCCTTGAAAATGAGCCATGATTCAATAATTCTTATTTTTTACATGAGAAAAATTAAGAAAAACAGTAAGATATGGCTTCTTAAGAGTTATCTTTTCCTTCCAGTACAATAGGAAGTTCCATGTATCTGTTTTTTAAAATTATACTTCAAGGTCTAGGGTACATGTGCAAAATGTGCAGTTTTGTTACGTGGGTATACACATGCCATGGTGGCTGGCTGCACCCATCACCCCATCACCTACATTAGGTATTTCTCCTAATGCTATCCCTCCCCTAGCCCCACAAATCCACAACAGGTCTCAATGTGTGATATTCCCCTCCCTGTGTCCACATGTTCTTATTGTTCAATGTCAACTTATGAGTGAGAACATGTGGTGTTCATTTGGTTTTCTGTTCTTGTGTTACTTTGCTGAGAATTATGGTTTCCAGATTAATCCATTTCCCTGCAAATGACATGAACTCAACTTTTTTATGGCTGCATAGTATTCCATGGTATACATGTGCCACATTTTCTTTATGGAGTCTATCACTGATGGGCATTTTGGTTGGTTCCAAATTTTTGCTATTGTGTTCAGTGGCACAATAAATATATGTGTGCCTGTGTCTTTATAACAGAACTATTTATAATCCTTTGGGTATATGCCTAGTAATGGGATTGCTGGGTCAAATGGTATTTCTAGTTCTAAATCCTTGAGGAATTGCCACACTGTCTCTCACAATGGTTTAACTAATTTATACTCCCACCAACAGTGTAAAAGCATTGCTATTTCTCCACTTCCTCTCCAGCATCTCTTGGCTCTTGACTTTTTAATCATCACCATTCTAACAGGCATGAGATGGTATCTCATTGTGGTTTTGATTTGCATTTCTCTAATGACCAATGATCATGAGTTGTTTTTTTTTTCATATGTTTGTTGGCTGCATAAATGTCTTCTTTTGAGAAGTGTCTGTTCATATCCTTTGCCTACTTTTGATGGCATTTTTTCTTGTAAATTTGTTTAAGTTACTTGTAGATTCTGAATATTACTCCTTTCTCAGATAGGTAGATTGCAAATATTTTCTCCCATTCTGTAGGTTGCCTGTTCACTTTGATGATAGTTTCCCTTGCTGTGCAGAAGCTCTTTAGTTTGATTAGATCCCATTTGTATATTTTGGCTTTTGTTGCTGTTGCTTTTGGTTTTTTAGTCATGGAGTCTTTGCCCATGCCTATGTCCTGAATGGTATTGCCTAGGTTTTCTTCTAGAGTTTTTATGTGTTTTTATGTTTTACATTTAGGTTTTTAATCCATCTTGAGTTAATTTTTATATAAGGTGTAAGGAAGGGATACAGTTTCAGCTTTCTGCATATGGCTAGCCGGTTTTCCCAACACCATTTATTAAATAGAGAATCCCTCCCCCATTGCTTGTTTTTGTCAAGTTTATCAAACATCAGATGATTGTAGGTGTGTGGTGTTATTTCCAAGGCCTCTGTTCTGTTCCATTGGTCTATAAATCTGTTTTGTTACCAGTACTATACTGTTTTGATTACTGTAGCCTTGTAGTATAGTTTGAAGTCAGGTAGTGTGATGACTCCAGTTTTGTTTTGTTTTTCTTAGGATTGTCTTGGCTATGCGGGCTCTTTTTTGGTTCCATATGAAATTTGTTTTTTTTCCAATTCTTTGAAGAAAGTCAGTGGTAGCTTGAGGGGGATAGCATTGAATCTATAAATTACTTTGGGAAATATGGCCATTTTCAAGATATCGATTCTTCCTAAGGATGAGCATGGAATGTTTTTCCATCTGTTTGTGTCCTCTCTTATTTCGTTGAGCAGTGGTTTGTAGTTCTCCTTGAAGAGGTCCTTTACATCCCTTGTTAGTTGCATTCCTAGGTATTTTGTTCTCTTTGTAGCAATTGTGAATGGGATTTCACTCATAATTTGGCTGTTTGTCTACTATTGGTGTATAGAAATGCTTGTGATTTTTGTACATTGATTTTTGTATCCTGAAATTTTGCTGAAGTTGCTTATCAGCTTAAGGAGATTTTGGGCTGAGACAATGGGGTCTTCTAAATATACAATCATGTTGTCTGCAAATAAGCATGTTAAAGAATGCTTATTCTTCTTAAGAATAACAGTTTTAAGCTCATTTTTAGGGCTCCTATCTATGTATCTCAGATCTTTTTGACTTGCTAGATAATATTAGCGAGATAACAATGGTGTAAAATAGACAAGACTCAAAGCATTAAATTTACAAAATTTGAAGGTTTTATATGCTTTTTTGAGGCTTTCCAGCCCCTGCTTCTGATTTCTTGCCTTTCCAGTCCTCCTTTCCCAGAGCTGTCTGGAGAACAGCATTTCAAATGATATAAAATCCTACTCATCATCTGTTGATGCCTTGTCATAAATTTAAGTACAGACAGTTTAACTGCATGTTAGAACATCCAATATTCAACCAGTACTAACCCATCCAACCTCATTTCCACATTCTCCCAAATGTACTACACTTCAGTCACAGATTCACTGCTTCTTCTGACCTATATCATTCCTTGCATATGTCTAGTACTAATTTGACACTACTGTGGCTACATGTAGATTTTTTCCACACTGAAAGGAGCAATTATTCCTTGTGAATTATTCATATACATGCACGTATATGCATATACAAATATAAACCATAGTACTTTGGATATACTGAGATATCTGTATCTGTTTGCTTAATTAAGTTATCTGAATACTATATGAAGGTTTGTTTGTTTGCTCTGTCGCCCAGGCTGGAGTGCAGTGGCGTGATCTCAGGTCACTGCATCTCTACCTCCTGGGTTCAACAAGCAGTTCTTCTGCCTCAACCTCCTGAGTAGCTGGGCTTACAGGTGCCTGCCACCATGCCCAGCCAACTTTTGTATATTTAGTAGAGACGGGTTTTGCCATGTTGGCCAATCTGGTCTTGAGCTCTTGACCTCAGGTGATCCACCTACCTCAGCCTCCCAAAGTGCTGGAATTATAGGTATAAGCCACTGTGCCTGGCCAAGTTAATTTTAGTTAACAAAGTTATAATAGGAAACTAAAGAACTTTTTTGTTTTTGAGACAGTCTCTGTCACCCAGGCTAGAATGCAGTGATGCGATCTCAGCTCACTGCAACCTCCACCTCCCGGGCTCAAGCAATCCTCGTGCCTCAGCCTCCTGAATAGCTGGGATTACAGGCATGCACCATCATGCCCGGCTAATTTTTGTATTTTTAGTAGAGAGGGGGTTTCATCATGTTGGCCAGGCTGGTTGGTCTCCAACTCCTGGCTCAAGTGATCCACCTGCCTCAGCCTCCTATGTTCTGGGATTACTGGTTTGAGTCACTGGGCCTGGCCTAAAGACCCTTTTAAATGGTAATGCTTACCCAATCTTAATGACCTGTGGAAATGTGATTGTGATTAACACCTACTATATCAGCCAGGGTACTCCAGAGAACAGAACCAGTAGGAGACATATTGACATGGACATAAAGATATAGAGATATATTTTAAGGAATTGGCTTGTGCAATTTTAAGGGATACAAAGAATGTAATTTATAGGACAGGTTGGTAGATAGGAAACTCAGGGTTTCATACTGCAGTCTTACGTCAGTATCCTTTTTTTTCTGGGAAACCAGTTTTTGCCCTTAAGGCCTTCAACTAATTGGATGAAGCTCCTTTAAAGGCATTAGATGGTAGATATTAACCACATATATAATCTTTGATTAAATAAGTGGAATTTACAGTCTAGTTGACACATAAGCATTATCATCCTTCTGACGAAAACAAAGAAATACATTGCCATCATGTTGTAAATTGACAACAAATTTAAATTCTGAGCAAGAATTTTAGGGCCTTCCAGATTTAAACTTAATACTATGTCTAAGGTCTATAACACTATGTTGAAATATTATTAATCAAAATAGAAAAATATTTTTAAAATAATGGTTTTGTGGAATGCAGTTTGAAAAATGGGGTTTTAACCAACCCCTGATTAGTCTGTTTTCCTCTTGTGTATGGTGTTAACCATTTTTACATTCCTGTTATTTAAAAAAAAAAATTTTCTATTCATCTAGAATTCTTCATAATTTTAAGTAATTTGAAATAAATTTGTTGGTATATTATACCAGCTTAATATTTCAAAAATTAATATACCAATGAAAATTTCAAATATCTTTTCAGACTATCATGAAAATGTCTTCATTTGATTTAAATGTATTCATTATTTCCTATTAGTTTTTTGCTTCCTATGCCTAATTAGTTACTTGTTTTGAGGCTGTCACATTTCAGTTTTTAATGGGGATTTATCATTTTCTACCTTTTGGCCATTTATAATTTTTTTCTGTTTTTTCTGATGTTGAGAACCTTCTAAATCCAGATCACTATCCAAAATGAATTTTCATTTTCTAGGAAATAACTTTTTATCTTGGAATTCTCATAACTAATTTTCAAATTAACTCCTCTGTTATGCTTTATTCAATCTGCACAATTAATAATAAAATAAAAACAGTAAAATCTTATGGAGCCCATTATCTATCTTTAGCAACATGTTCAGTGCTATAATGTGGATTATTCATCTTCACAACAACTCTAAGAGGTGACGGTAGTGCCATTTCCATTTTGCTGATGATAAAATAGATACATAGGGGCCATTTGTGGTGGAACTAAAATTCTAACCAGAATAATCTTACTCGAGATCACTACGTTATGATGCCCTACATCTTTAAGCCTTTTTATCTCTGCTATAGAGGTAAAGACACAAAAGAAAGTGTAGCAAAGCTCTCTATCTTTGTGCATGCAGTGATCACTTCATTGCCCAGTCAAAAGTAGTTTGGGGTGACACTTGGTAACATAAAATTTGCTGTGCTACTTTGGGTTGAAATATTTAAATGCATTCCTTTATTCATTGTTAAGTTTTAATCCATTGTGTAAATCATAAACTACTAAAATGAAACATCCCTAAGTCAGTTTATCTTGTTTTCTTGTGAACTAATAAGCTGAAAGAATATTTCACGAATCTAAGCCAACTAGATATGAGCTTTTACGAAAACAATCCCAGAAACTTATTTCAAAGAAATGCAAAAGAAATGTGTTTGAATTCTACTACACTGACAAAAGTTAACCTTTCTCTCAGATATATCATAGTAATATTAAAATATAAATTATAGATAGGCTATATTTCAAAAAAGACAGCTGGCTTTTAATAAGACTTAATTATGCACTCTATAAAAGGATTCCCCATCAAATTCTTTTAAGAAGCAAGCCTCGCTAATACCTTTATAATATAATTTGAATCTGAGTCTATATGTCAGTGTCACCTCCTAGAAAATGTACTGAGGCGTGGCCAGCTTGTAATTTTTACTTCATCTGTTCCTGTAGCATGTTAATTATTTTATGTAATATTTTTAAATTAAAAACTAAATTAGAAGAAATGGTAGTACTTTAAAATAAAAGGCTAAATTAGAAGAATGAATGGTAGTGCAACATTGATTTAAAATTTAGATTTACTTGCAAAGTGCAACAATGTGCCAACATGTAGAACAACTGCCATAAAAGCAATAGCTTTTTTAGCAGCAGACATTAACAGTACAGTTATTCTAGTGTGTTATTTCAGATAATTGTGTATTTGAGAATTTGCATAAGATATACTTCTAACATGTCCAAATGTTTTATTGAGATTAAAATGTTTGGCCAGGCACGGTGGCTGGGAGGCTGAGGCAGGCGGATCATGAGGTCAGGAGTTTGAGACCATTCTGGCCAACACAGTGAAACCCCGTCTCTAATAAAGATACAAAAATTAGCTGGGCTTGGTGGCAGGGGCCTGTAATCTCAGCTACTCAGGAGGCTGGGGCAGGAAAATAACTTGAACCCGGGAGTCAGGGGTTGCAGTTAGCTGAGATTGTGCCACAATACTCCAGCTTGGGAGACAGAGCTAGACTCTGTCTCAAAAAATATATATATCTTGAACCCCTCATACTTGATTCTGGCATCACCTTAAAGTAACAAAGCCTTTAATTAAAAAAAAAAAATAAAAAAAAAAAAAAAAAAAAAAAAGGTAACTTTTCCAAATTGCATTTACCAACCATCACATATAGAAAACGGTTTTACTTTCCTTACCTTTTTGTTGCCTTTCAGATATGCTTCTTCTGTAAAGGATGGCTCCCAGTATTTTGTGCTTCTGATTGTTACAGATGGTGTTATCTCAGATATGGCCCAGACTAAGGAGTCCATAGTTAATGTAAGTAGGGGTCACTCAGTATTGGGCAGGCTACGTGACAACATGATGCTACTTAAAGACTAGAATCTATTTTAGTTAACAATAAAATAAATAAAATCCCCACACCTTTGAGGCAGATTGCACCCTTAACCTTATCCAGACAACGCATATACATCTGTACCATTGATCCATGGGGACCAAGCTAAGAGGTATGACTATTTGAGTTAAAAAAAAATCTTGCCTAAAGAAAAAAAAAAATGATAATAGCATAACTTTCACAGGCATGGGTGTGTTTACCTCTGTTAGTTTGATCTATTTGTATACAATCGTGTGATTTGTACAGATTATTTCTTAACATTTGCATTCTAGTTGGAGGAGAACTAAAATAGCTAATTGCTGTTTCTGTAGAACTGGGTAGTAACTGATTAAAAAACCATCCTGCTCATTATAATTCCTAATTGTGTGTTTGGTTTTTTAGGGTTAGATTGTTTACTAATCTATAAAATCTGTATTTACTAGATGATAATCTGTAAAGTAATAGTTTTTACTCACCAGTCTCTAGGTTTAGCAATGTTTGGCATGAAGTACGCATTTGATGACGTAGGCTGCAGGAATGAATTGCATTAATATGCACTTTAAAATATAGACTTAGTAATTTAGGCTTAACTAAGAGGACATGATGCCCTGAGAAATAATTAGTCATAATTCAGAGATCTTCATAGAGAAAGATGTGGTGGTTGTGTCTGTTGCTGGATCTATCTCACAGTCTTATAATTAAATTATTTAAGTGATGATATGTGATATATTTTATGGAAAAAACATGAAGTATTTAGCCTCCCTCAAAATCTCAAGGATATTTAGTGCATAAACTACTAAGTTTCTGTAATTATCATTTGTGTTCACTCACTCACTGTGAAAATTGCTTTTTCTAACCTTGGGTATAAATGAGGTAGATTAGGGTACCGCTTTCTCCCTTTAGCAACTTAAAGATTTTTGGAGGAGAAAGAACATGAAAAGAGGACAAAGATACCCAAAGCCGGCTTAGAAAGTTTTTTTCTGAGAGTAGCAAGTGGAAGTAGATGCCCCTTACCTTTTATTCGATCTTACCCAGGGCTGGTCATCTCTGAAGAATGTCCCTCAGGATTAATGTGTATAGAGTTTGGAAAGGATAAGAATGGAATCAAGTATACTATTCTGTATTAATCATTTTGACTATGCTCACATTGTAATGAACATCTGTGAAAAAATATTAAATAAAATTCCAGCTATATTTGCTTATTATTCCTTTTTCAATTTTTTTTTTTTCAGACAGGATCTCACCCTGTTGCCCAGGCTGGAGTGCAGTGGCATGATCATAGCTCACTGCAGCCTCGAACTCCTAGGCCCAGGTGATCCTCTCACCTCAAACTCAAGTAGCTAGGACCTCAGGCACACACCACCACATCTGGCTAATTCTTTTTTGGTACAGATGGGGTCTTGCTATGTTGCTCAGGCTGGTCTCAAACTCCTGGCCTCAAGCAATCCTCCTCCTTTGGCCTCCCAAGGTTCTGGGATTTCAAGTGTGAGTTATCATGCCTGGTCTTTAATTATTTTAAGAACTCAGTTTCTTAATTGAAATCTAATTGTGTATTCTCTTTGAAGGCCTCAAAACTTCCAATGTCAATAATTATAGTAGGTGTTGGACCAGCAGAATTTGATGGTGAGTAGTAAAATTTTAATAATACTCCTTGGGAATTTAATCTGATGTGACAAGCTCTTAGGTTTCTGCCATTCTTGTCTCTGTAGAAGGATGGGACTGTGTATTTGGGTTTGTATATAATGTTCATGTGTCCATATATAGACATATATATAGATAGCTTGTGATTATGTCTATTAAGGCGTGCCAATTAAAAGATCCTGTCTTTTGACTAGGATATTATCTCTCTAGTTTATAGATTATTTCAACATGTAGCTTTCCATTTCATTAGAGCTAGTTTGTACTCAAAATGGTATTTCCTAAGACTGACAGAGTGATAAATTGAGTTTTTGTTCCCAAGGCAAAACACACTCTGGGTTCACTAAAACCCTTCAAGGATGAATGCTAAATTAATAAATCATTAGGTTGTGAAAAGAAATGTTAACATAAGCATAATATGCTAATTTAATGGGTTTTCAGGCCCTAGCTAGTTGATAGACATTAGCCTTATAAATGAAGTTTTGTCATATGGAAAAGCAAAGTAAAATGAAAATGGAGCTGACCAGCATTGGCATAGTGGGTAGGTTTTTATTCAGGCTCAGACCTTGTTCAAATGCCAATTAAGAGGCAATGTTTGTGTAACACATGATCCAGGTAAACCTTTTAAGGGATAGTGTGTTCCTAGTCATCTGATAAATTCCTTTAAGAGAGCCTAAAATACAATTACAAAAAAAAAAAAAAAAAAAAAAAAAAGCAAAAATTCACAGAGCCTTTAACAACAAAAAAAGAAACAACACTATTTCCCTTGCAATCTTTTCTTCTTCTGGAGACATGTAAATTCCTCTTTATTATATACCCATGCTTTGACTCATTCAAGTTATATTTCCTGAATAAATGAAATTCAAGACCAAAAAAAGAACTCTGTGCTGGACAGCAAGTGCACAGCCATATAATATTCACCTGGTTCAGGTGACTTTAATGTTAGTAATGGCAGCTTATGTAGCTTGAGGCTTTGGAAATAAGAATGCTTTTAGAATGTTTGAAACAATCTTTAGTAAGTTACTGGTTAGCTTGGGCACATTGGTGGCTACCTAGAGTATAATTACCACTGGGGTGATACTTAGTTAACCACTCGTCTCTCGTCAATGAGGATAATACAGATCTGCCCAGCCCAGATAAAGCACCATAGGCACGTGGTATTGCTGACCCTGGATTCCCTAGATTCTGTGCTTGGCTGGATTCCCTAGATTCTGGTCATCCTTTCTAGCATTAAAATCTTAGAGTTTCAAAAGCAGAAGTCATTTATCCCTCACTGACACTGATTCTGCTGATGTTTTCTCTATCTCTATTTGCATCTGCTTGAGTTGCACTTCAGGCCTGAATTTCAGATACCTTTCTGGGGACAGGAAGGCTAAGAGACCTTTCCTGTCAATGCTTTGTGCACTTGATAATCTGCATTAATTAGTGATAGACTGTGATTCACAATCTTCACCAATTGGTGGCTAAAATAACTCATACTTTCTTCTTTGGCTACTATTTGTTTTTGCCTTTGAAAGATGTATCTTTATTTTTTGTTTATTATACTTTAAGTTCTGGGGTACATGTGTAGAACATGCAGATTTGTTACATAGTATACACGTGCCATGGTGGTTTGCTGCATCCATCACCCATTTCTGCTAATGCTATCCTTCCCTATCCTCCCACACCCGGACAAGACCCAGTGTGTGATGTTCCCCTCCCTGTGTACATTTTGTTCTCATTGTTCAACACTCACTTATGAGTGAGAACATGTGGGGTTTGGTTTTCTGTTCTTGTGTCAGTTTGCTGAGAATGAAGGTTTCCAGCTTCATCCATGTCCCTATAAAGGACATGAACTCATCCTTTTTTATGACTGCATAGTATTCCATGGTGTATGTGTGACACATTTTCTTTATCCAGTCTATCATTGATGGGCATTTGGGTTGGTTCTAAGTCTTTGCTATTGTGAACAGTGTCACAATAAACATACATGTGCATATGTCTTTATAATAGAATGATTTATAATACTTTGGGTATATACCCAGTACAGTAATGGGATTGCTGGGCCAAATGGTATTTCTAGTTCTTGGTCCTTGAGGAATTGCCACACTGTCTTCCATAACGGTTGAACCAGTTTACACTCCCACCAACAGTGCAAAAGTGTTCCCATTTCTCCACATCCTCTCTAGCATCTGTTGTCTCCAGATTTTTTAATGATCACCATCCTAACTGGCGTGAGATGGTATCTCAATGTGCTTTTTATTTGCATTGCTCTAGTGACCAGTGATGACGAGCTTTCTTTCATATGTTTGTTGGCTGCATAAATGTCTTCTTTTGAGAAGTGTCTGTTCATATCCTTTTCCCACTTTTTAATGGGGTTTTATTTTTGTAAATTTAAGTTCTTTGTAGATTCTGGATATTAGCCCTTTGTCAGATGGGTAGATAGCAAAATTTCTTTCCCATGCTGCTGTTTGCTAGTTCACTGTAATGATAATTTTTTTTTTCTTTTTTTTTTTTTTTTTGAGATGGAGTTTCACTCTTGTTACCCTGGCTGGAGTGCAATGGTGCGATCTCAGCTCAACGCAACCTCCGCCTCCTGGGTTCAAGCAATTCTCCCGCCACAGCCTCCTGAGTAACTGGGACTACAGGCATGTGCCTAGCTAATTTTTGTAGTTTTAGTAGAGATGGGGTTTCACCATGTTGAACAGAATGGTCTCGATCTCTTGACCTCATGATCCACCCACCTTGGCCTGCCAGAGTGCTAGGATTATAGGCGTGAGCCACCGCACCCAGCCTATAATGATAATTTCTTTTGCTGTGCAGACGCTTTTTAGTTTAATTAGATCCCATTTGTCAATTTTGGCTTTTGTTGCCATTGCTTTCGGTGTTTCAGTCATGAAGTCCTTGCCTATTCCTATGTCCTGAATGGTATTGCCTAGGTTTTCTTCTGGGGTTTTTATGGTGTTAGGTCTTATGTTTAAATTATTAATTAATCCATCTGGAGTTAATTTTTGTATAAGTTGTAAGGATGAGATCAGTTTCGGCTTTCTTCATATGGCTAGCCAGTTTTCCCAGCACCATTTGTTAAACAGCACCTTTTCTCATTGCTTGTTTTTGTAAGGTTTGGCAAAGATCAGATGGTTGTAGATGTGTGGCATTATTTCTGAGGCCTCTGTTCCTTTGGTCTCTATCTCTGTTTTGGTACCAGTACTATGCTGTTTTGATTACTGTACCCTTGTAGTATAGTTTGAAGTCAGGTAGCATGATGCCTTCAGCTTTTTTTTTTTTGTGGTTTGTTTGCTTAGTATTGTTTTCACTATGCAGGCTCTTTTTTGGTTGTATATGAAATTTAAGGTTATTTTTTCCAATTCTGTGAAACAAGTCAATGGTAGCTTGATGGGGATAGCATTTAATCTATGAATTACTTTGGGAAGTATGGCCATTTTCATATTGATTCTTCCTAACCATGGGCATGGAATGTTTCTCCATCTGTTTGTGTCCTCTCTGATTTCCTTGAGCAGTGGTTTGTACTTCTCCCTGAAGAGGTCCTTCTTGTCCCTTGTTAGTTGCAATCCTAGGTATTTTATTCTCTTTGTAGCAATTGTGAATAGGAGTTCACTGGTGATTTGGCTCTCTTTTAGTCTGTTATTGGTATATAGGAATGCTTGTGATTTCTGCACATTGATTTTGTATCCTGAGACTGTCGAAGTCGCTTATCAGCATAAGATGTTGGGCTGGGACAATTGAGTCTTCTAAATATACAATCATGTTGTCTACAAATACAGACAAGTTTACTTCCTCTTTTCCTAATTGAATACCTTTATTTCTTTATCTTGCCTGATTGCCCTGGCCAGAACTTCCAATACTGTGTTGAATAGGAGTGGTGAGAGAGGGCATCCTTGTCTAGTGCCAGTTTTCAAAGGAAATGCTTCTAGTTTTTGCTTTTCAGTATGATATTGGCTGTGGGTTTGTCATATATAACTTTTATTATTTTGAGATAAGTTCCATCAATACCTAGTTTATTGAGAGTTTTTAGCATGAAGGTTTGTTGAATTTTGTCAAAGGCCTTCTCTGTGTCTATTGAGATAATCATGTGGTTTTTGTTTTGGTTCTGTTTATATGATAGATTACATTTATAGATTTGTGTATTTTGAACTAGCCTTTCATCCTGGGGATGAAGCCGACTTGATCGTAATGGATAAACTTTATGATGTGCTGTTAGATTTGCTTTGCCATTATTTTATTGAGGATTTTCACATCAATGTTCATCATCGATATTGGCCTGAAGTTTTCTTTTTTAGTTGTGTTTCTGCCAGGTTTTGGTATCGGGATGATGTGGGTCTCATAAAATGAGTTAGGGAGGACTCCCTGTTTTTATATTGTTTGGAATAGTTTCAGAAGGAATGATACCAGCTCCTCTTTGTACCTCTGGTAGAATTCGGCTGTGAACCTGTCTGGTTCTGGACTTTTTTTGGTTGGTAGGCTATTACTTGCTGCCTCAATTTCAGACCTTGTTACTCATCTATTCAGGGATTCAACTTCTTCCTGGTTTTGTCTTGGGAGTGTGTAAGTGTCCAGGAATTTTGATGAATGTATCTTTCATGGGTATATTTCACGTCTTTCTGACTCCTATGGAAGTCCACCAGTAGGCCTATCACTGCAGAGATGGTAAACCTCAATCAATTCTCCTTTTTTGAGAGTCCCAACACCTGATTCATAAATGCAAAGCCACTGACCCTTCCTCTTCTGTATTTCTGTACAGAGTAGCAGACACAACTGTTTGGCTGCTGCCCTCATCCAATAGCGACAGCTATTTATTTTCTTCCTTTCTTTAGTTCTCAGTAAATTTGTTAGGCTTTTAAGGTATGATAATTCATCATTTCTCTTTCTCAGGTCCTGAACTAACTGGAAAAAAATGTATGCAAGAATTATTCTGATCAATCTATCAGCTTTATTACTACCAATGCAGAATTTGAGACCTTTGGGTTAACATGTGGACAATCACATTCTCATTACTTTTTCCCCCGAAGATTAAATTATCTCTCTTATCTCCTGGACTTCTCTTTATAGAGGAGGAGTTTTGCCTATTAAGCATGCCAGAGAGAAATTACACTCATTCTCAGGATAATGCTGTGCCAAATGGGAGTGATTCAAGCTCAGTTATTTCTTCTAATCTTAGTAACTCTATAAATTGTTCCTCTTTTCATGCAGAAAGGTGAATGAAGATTGTAGATAAAAAGGGATGTTACCTTCCCAGAAATTAGAGTGAAATTTTCTTCTGGAAACATAGGAACAGGATATTAGACTCCTGTAACACCTAGTTTCTTTTTTCACCATGATGGAAGTTTTAATGAGACAGAAAAACTTCCAGGTCCTGTACTAGAAAAGTAGATTATTCTGCCTGGGGACTATAGATGCTTCTCTAAAGTAGTTTTCTTTTTTTCCTTTCAAAACACATCTCTTCGTGGCTAAAAAGAAAATGAGAGAATACTCATGTTTATTAGAAATCTCTGACTAGACAAATTGCTGCTCTTCTATCGGAGGAGCCTCTCATGGCACTCCCAAATCTGCTCTAGAGTAAATGTATGTATCACACATATAAACTGACCAAAATCCAACTTGCAAACTGTATTAGTCCATTTTCACACTGCTATAAATAAATACCTGAGACTGAGTCATTTATAAAGGAAAGAGGTTTAATTGACTCACAGTTCTGCATGGCTAGGGAGGCATCAGAAAGCTTATAATCATGGTGAAAGGGGAAACAGACACATCTTACATGGTGGCAGAAGAGAGAGAAAGAGCATGTGAGAGGGAAGGAAAGACTGCCATTTATAAAACCGTATTCATTCACTGTCACGAGAACAGCATGGGGGAACGACCCCTATAATCCAATCACTTCCTTCCCTCAACATGTGGCACTTACAGGTCCCTCCCTCAACACACGGTAATCACAATTTGAGATGAGATATGGGTGGGGACACAGAGCCAAACCATATCACAGATTTCTTGAGCTAACCATGTAAATCCAACATCTGCACATTTTTTAACCTGAAAGACATTGTTTCCATGGGCAAGAAATACAATATTTTGCCATCTGTCCTTTGAAGGTAGAGGAAATAAGAATAAAATATTGAGTATTTAAATTTAACTCTTTTATTAAGACCATTTAAAAATTACGTAATTTTCCTCGTTGGTGTATATTTACATCGCAAAGTAAATTACTGAGAATATTTGAACATAATGAATGGAAAAATATTGACTTTTTTTCACTCCTAAAAAAGAACCCTTATTACAAAGAAAGATTTCTCAAGGCAAGATTTCTTTATACTTAAAAGGCAATCATAACGTCAAATTAAAGCAGCATCTCACTATTTGGTTTGATCTGAGTTAGACAAAGGGGTTAAAATAGGGTTTCTACTTCATTGTGCCCTCCATGGCTAGAAGGAAATGCAGATCTGTCTCTCATACACCTTTACAGGAAGAGGTAAGAGTTCATAATCTCCACGTGCCTGAGGACTAGATGGTCAACAAACCTGGAGTAGACCTGACCCATCCACCACTTACACACCGTCTCTCTTCTTGTTCTCAAAAGCATAGCCTCCACTTCTTGCTGTCTACAGTGTTTTAAACCAAAGGACATGCTGAAAAGTGGGAGGTATTTATAGGACCTCATGCTAATACAGTGTTGCCTGAATGACTGTCCTTTTCTTCATTAATAGGAATGAAACACTCACAAAAACCAATGGGGGCTGTAGGGTTCTAGAGAATTGTGGAACGTGAGATCTAGATTATCATCTAATCCTTGTTTCCCATTTTAGCATGAGTATAGGGTAATTGTTATAAGTTATTAACATATTAGAGAATAATGGAGAAGTGTCTGTGACCACTGGATATTACCATTGGTGTATATTTTATGTCCCAAAGTAATGTGAAAAATGTAAAGGCAAATTTACATTTAAAAAGAATTACTAAAAATATTGGAAATAATGAATTATGTTTACGTCTCCAAAAAGTGGGGGAGATTAAAAAATGGCTTTTGCATTGAGATAATTCTTATTAGTAATATACATATTTTACATAATTATATATATTGTACATCTTGGCAAATCATTGAAGAGTTGCTCTGTTAATTATGAATACTAGCAGTATTTCAGGGCAAGCATTGACTTATGAACATGTGTGATAAGGTAAAGTTGAAAACAATGTTTTTAGCCCAAATACATTAAGCACTGAAGAGAAGCATAAAGAAGTGAGGATTGTATGCTGACTGAGCTGTATTGAGGCTGAGGACAGAGGTGATGAGGCCAAAATTATAATTGTTAAGTGGCTCTCTGGAGTCTGGTGAATGTCAAGTGTTTACAAAATAAATTATCAGTAATAGAATTATACTTTAAGCACAAATTAGTATTCCTCGTGTGATTAATTATTTAGAGAATTCTCACTGAAAACTTAATAACCTATAGGAAATGTTCCTAATTACAGCACTTCATTACTGCTGTGATATAATGTCCCATTATATCGCAGCATTTCCAAATATCAGCTGATCTAGGAAATGTTGAAATTATTTCTTAATTAACAAAAGGATTATCCTTCAGAAAAAGCATACTTTATCCAATGAGTATAAGAGCAGAGAAAAAAAATTAGTCAGTGTGTGTGTGCGCAAGCAGCTTTGTGATAGTTTCAATGAAAATAAAATTCAACATGTAATTGAAAATTCTATGATTATTAAGGCCAAGTTTCTTAAACTAGAAAAGTTAAAATTTGATAGATTAACATCCCTTGCTTAATCAGTCATGTAAGCATATAACCAGAAGTTTAGAACTGGTAGGATGGAGAGAGAGACCCAGAGACAGTTTCACAATGACTGGTTCTGCTCACCTTTCAAAGGGTCACACAAGATCTTGGCTCACTTTCTTTATCTGTAAAATACACACTTAGTCAAGTTTTGTGTGAGAAATGAATGTAGAGATGAAGGGATCAACATGCTCTCTGTCTTTTCATAGGACGTTTTGCTACTTCATAGATATTGATTTCCTTATTGTCTACATTGTTTTAGTATTTGGCTAAAATGTACTGAATAAATGATCACATTTTCTCTTTCAGCAATGGTTGAATTGGATGGAGATGATGTAAGAGTCTCCTCTAGAGGAAAATATGCTGAAAGAGACATTGTTCAGGTAAGAAATTGAACCTTTTCCTACTTTACTATTGCTAGAAAATATCTTGGAATCTTTAACAAAATTAGAAGGTAGAAATATAACAGACTTTTAAATGATGCTTATCTATTTTTTTGTCTCCACAAAAACTAAATCTATTTTAATCTGATAGATATTCAGGGTAAATAAATTTAGTAAAAATGTACCAAAAACTTTGTATGTATTTTCATACTTTCCTCATAGATTATGGTAAGAAAAAATAGGGAAATAGATTCTAAAATATGTCATACATAAAAAAAAAACTATATCTACATCTAGAAAATGCTAGAATTAAGAAAAATACTTAACTAAAGCCTATTTTGGGAGTGAATATAAACAATCCATAATTAAACATAGTTAACATTTATAATTGAAAGCAAGGTATTAATGAACTAAATAGTTGCATAGGATTTCCGGATTTTTTTAGGATGTCAGAATGGAAAAAAAGCTATGAAGTGTATCTTTTTGGATCAGAAAAGGAAGAAGGTCTCAATACCATTTAAGCACATTTTATCAAAATTTTAAGAGAGCAAACAATGAACATTATTATTATTTCCTAAATAGTAACATATATTCACCCATAATACAGTCATTAAGAAAAAATAATTTGGGATTGCAAGAATTAAAGAAAGGAAAGAAACACCAAGGGTGGCTCCATAGTCAACAGGCTTATTTCAAACCTGGGAGGGACTTTTGACCAAGTTAGGTCAGAAACCACACTCTCTTACAGACTAATAGTTTTTAAGGAATCAGGGTGGGGGGGTTTATCAGAGGCTTGGACTGCTTCTATGTCTCTTTGTTGTGTTTGTCTGGGAGGGGGAGGAAGAACTGTGTGTCTGTTTCCATACATCTTTCTGCAGGTATATCTTCCATATCTGCTTTTAGCTTCCTTAGTGCACCTTAAGGAAAAATAATGTGCTTCTTAAGGCCCACTGTTTTTCTGGGGTCCATTGTATAAGAGTAAAATTTGGCAGTTACCCAAGAGACTTCCTCCCTATGTGCCTGAAATGTCTTATCTGTGTTTAACTCTCTGCTCTTTCTGGCTGCTTGTAGTTAGAAGAGAAATAATTTCCTTAAAATGCATGAGGCTAGAAAGGGAGCTGGAACTTAGAGTGGCAGCATTTGTCCGAGATAACTGCTCCTGCTTTCTCAGGGATTCTACAGAATTTGGTTGTAATTCTGATTTTTCCACTATGATAGCTTATAAGCTTTCTAGATTTCAGTGTTTTGGGGGATAAATAGAACTATGAAGATTAAGTGAGATAATACATATAAAATACATTCCAGAAATAGAACTTTTAGACAAAAGAACCACAAAAAATGCTTGAAATAACTTAAGGAAGTAATAATATAATCTGTTAGTGTGATAATTTAAAGAGTAATGTTGATAAAGATAAAAATATTCATTAGTCCGCAAAATTAGCTTTTAAAATAAAAACTTTTATAAAATAGTTTTATAAAAAAGATAACTGACTATGATGTAAGCTTTTTAACCTACAGTACTTGATATGGTAAAAATTACACTAACAAATGATTAGGTTAAGAGCAACTGAGTAAAAGAACCTGGTGATATGGTCATTTGTTTAAGAAGCTCATCATGTGTTTTTTTCATAATTAGACACATGATTATTCACCTTAACCTCATCAGTATAATTATAGATCTAAGTAATTACACTTTATTTAAAAGCTCTCCATAATATCTGTTCACAGTTTCAAAAAAATCAAATTACTGCATGGAAGTATGAATTGGAAGTCTTTAGAATGTGTTATGTTGCTGTTTTAATGCATTTTTACCAGGTTAGCAGAGGCAACCTCATATCTCAGTTTCATTTAAATGATGTTTAAGAGAAGCTTGGTATTATTTTCTTCATTAGGAAGTAACTAAGATTGCTTACATCATTAAGGTTTCCTTTAAGAAAACCAATAGATTATGTTAGTGACAACCTATTTGCATTCATAAAAATTATCCTTGATCACAAAACTAAGCACTCAACACATATACTACATTGAACAGAGTATTGACATAGGGCCTGAATGATCTGTGAAACTATAATTTTGTCACTCTCATTTTTAACAAGTAAAAAAATTTCTGTCTTTGCTTCATTATCTGTAGACTCTAAATTCTTTCATCTTTGCTCCTCCCATGATGTTGTCTCAGATGAAGTAACAGATATTAAGTACTTTGTTACTTATCAATAGCATAGGTATATTAGTATAATTATATAGTTTTTGTTTTGAAAGTCACAATCCTTGAGAGCAGTCTATCACCATAAAGTAATGCTGGGATCCCAAAGATTTTGAACACGCCTGGGGACACAGGTGAGCACTCAAGGGATTCTGCCACATAAAGCCCAACTGAGGAGTAGTGAGGTCTTAACATTTACTGAACAAGAAATTAAAATATCCCTAGGAAATTAGCAACACCCTGAATAACAGTGACATCTTCACTTACATTCCTACATTGAATTAGAGATTTGATATACTCTTTTCTAATTTCATAGAGAAGTTTCTAAATGGTGGTTGGTCCTTTACGTATCACATTGATCATTTACATTCACATTGTATAAAAGAATTGGCACCTCCCCTCTCACCTTGAATAAGGCTAAACATTCTACCATCAGAGTTTTCCAGGTTCTACCAGTCAGTCACTGAAAAGTTTTTAAAGCACATTTTAAAGGAGAGAAACATTATTGAATATTTAGAATAGTAGGGTTGCACGTATACATGCCGGGTAGTATTTTCAATCTTCCCATGGTCAGAAAACGACTGTAAACCAATTTTCTAAACAGAGTCTATCTTAGGCTCTCTTGCCTTTTCTCTGCTTTCCATTTCTCACTATTTGAAGCGAATCCAGTTTATACACACTACACAGTTAAAATTCCAGATTTCTCAAGTGGACCAACAAAACTGTAATGTTGCAAATAATGGTAGGTAGCTGAGGTTCAGCAGAAAATTAGGGGTAGATGGGGTTTTATTATTAAATACATTTTCATATAATGATATTTAATCCTTTAGTGTTTCATGTGCTAGGCAGGCTAAGAGCTATAGCATTGTATCACTCAGTCCTTAATTAACTTCATGTAACAGGTACTTTGATTACTGCATTTTATAAAAAAGGAAATGAAGCTAGCTCAATTCCTCCTGTCCAGTCACACAGCTAATGAGAAGTGGACCAGGATTTAATCCTAAAATGTCAGATTCTAAAATTCTTAACATGCATTCTGTGTAATTTTGATTCTAATACCTAAACATGACATTTAAGATTCTCCATGACCTGACTCCAGGCTCTGCTTTAGCTAAGTACAGACAGAAACAGACGAATGCACTGTACTTTACCTTAACAAATTAACTTTCCATCACACAATTCCATGGTTCTTGCTTCTATTTTCACTCGTCATTTTACCTGGAATACTCTTCCTCCTCATCTGTGCTGATTGAAATCCCGGACTTTGAAATTTCTCAATATATAGCCTGTCACAAAGTCCTCTCCAAAGACCTCACTCGCCACACCTGGATGGATTTTCACTTTGTTTCCATATTACTTCCTATGTTCCTAAAAATACTGGTCATTATCTTATAATTATTTACAGATAAGGAAATTGAAGCCTCATATCAAAATTAAATAACTTTTGGAAAGTTATTTAGGTCATAAGTTGGTAGATCCAGATTTCCAACAGTGTTCTGTTTCTAAAACCAGTGTTATTCCTATAACACACTGTCCTAAAAGATGAAATTTTAATGAAAATGATTAATATCTATTATACTCTTTATATTACTGAAGTGGCTAATGCATTCCAGTCACATCCATTTGAGTTCAAATAGTGATTTTAACACATAGTCAGAGCTGATCCTGGATATGTTAAACTTTCTAAGTTTCAGTTTCCTCTTACGTAAATTCAACGTATATAAGATACTTGTGAATATTAAATGACATATCGTGCTAAACCTCCTAGCAGAAGATGTCCCAACTACTAGTTGCTCAATAAATGCATTTTTATCAGTACAGTATGTTGGCACAGTCCAGTGGGAAGAAATTTGTCATTATTTCATAGTAGATGTGCCCCAACATACAACAAGGTAGTAAGTTTTATATGTGATTAAGTCTCATTGCTTCAGTATTTAATTCCAGATCACTATAGTATAAAGAGTAAGCTGGATAAGTTCCTATGGTTGCTAACTCTAAAACTTAAGTGACTTATTTTCTTAAGTCAGTATACATAAAGACTTTCTATTTGTTTGTTTATGCTATGGATTGGCCATTGTGTATAATGCAGTGCCATTCCCCCTAGCTGCATGTAGCTTCTGGCCAGCCTATCATTTCCTTGAAAATTTTATTTAAATCATATTTTCCATTAAAAGGAGAATAACAACCTTGAGGGCTTAGACTTGAAAATCACTAATGGAGCTCTGCACAGTAGGAACAATCAAGCAAAATTGAGCAGAGCAACAACTAAAAGCCCATTTGCCCAAACTAATTCAAATTTGTTTTTACAAATAGGCAAAGCAAGCAGTTAGAGCAGCCCCGTGGAACATTTTCCTTATACTGGGTAGATGCTGAAAAAAGATGTAGAGTAACAAGTATGCCATATTTCCTATAGAACAAGATGCTTTATTGGTATTTATATGAATGTGATAAATTAGTGCAAAGTAAATATCGATTTATTCTTCCAAACTAAACATTATTAACTAATATAAGGATCCAAGCTACCTTATGGCCAGCATACATTCACCAATGTGTGAGAATTATTTTGTACAAGAGGTTCCCAGCTACAGGAATCAGAAATGAGGGACTAATTAATAGAGGTAATAAACAGCGTGGCCTAAGAAGTTGAGTGGAAAACTGTAAAGATAAAAGGATATGCCCAATCTTCCAAGAAAGAGGGCATTTTTTGTCCTGAAAATTTTAAGATTTGAAATAAAAAAGGAAATGAAGTTGCTTGTCTTTTTCTTAAAGTATGTTATGACATAAGAAATGAATGTTCCTTTGGAAAGGTTTAGTTTAGGCTAGTGACTTTTTTTTTCCTACTCCAGATATAAGTGTGGGATGATACTTATATCGGGATGTAAGTATGCAGATACATATATCCAGGATACTCCTGTTACTAACAGTGACTGCCTATGACAGTAGTTCTCAACCTGTGGGCAGTGCCCCCTCATGTCCAAATGGAATATCAGACTCTGTTCACCTAACAAACCTAAGCTAAATGTGATATATACTCCCACCCAAGTTGAAATTGAGGATTTATAAACATGTTTAAAATACGAGCAGAACTGTGTGTATTGTAAGAACAGTGATAATTATGAGCGTTAGCTTTGATCTTCCCGAGTGTCATAAAATTCTTAAAAGTGAAATTCAACTTACCTCAAAAAAAAATCGGCATATCCTGTAGGACTTGCTGGAAAGGTGAAACAACAAGTGTTTTAAAACAACAAAACTCCAGGAATTAGTGTTTTAGATTAACTGATACTGTATTCAAATTTGAAAGATAAAATTGATAATAATCTTCCTTGTATTTAAATGTTTGATATGAATATAAATGGAAAACTACTAACAAAATAGTTTAATATATAATACATATTACAAATTGAACTGTTACTGTTTAAGCACTTTGTTTTAACTTATTTAATATAAAAACAATGAAATAGGTATAATTATCCTTATTTTTATTATTGACATAATTATATATATTTATAGGGTACAGTGTGATATTTCATTACATGTATGCAATGTATAATTATCAAATCAGGGAAAGTACACCGATATCTCAGACATTTTATTATTATTATTTTGAGAGAGAGTCTCACTGTCACCAGGCTGGAGTGCAGTGGTGCGATCTTGGCTTACTGCAACCTCCCTCTCCCTAGTTCAAGTTATTCTTCTTACAGTAACTACAGGTACATGCCACCACGCCCAGCTAATTGTTGTATTTTTAGTAGGGATGGGGTTTCACCATGTTGGCCAGGATGGTCTCGATCTCTTGACCTCATGATCTGCCTGACTTGGCCTCCCCAAAGTGCTGGGATTACAGGCGGGAGCCAGTGTGCCCAGCCTACATTTATTATTTGTGTTGGGGACATTCAAAATTCTGTCTTCTAGCTATTCAAAAAGATGCAATAAATTATCATTATGGTGAACTTACAGTGCTAGAGAACAATAGAATATATTCCTATCTAGCTATAATTTTTTATCTATTAACTCAAGTCTCCTTACCCCTCGTTCCCCACCTATCCTTCCCAGCCTATGGTAACCACTGTTCTACTCCCTATTTTTATAAGATCAGCATTTTAAGCTTGCACATATGAGTGAGAACACATGGTATATCTTTCTGTGCCTGGCTAGAGGAGAAGCTTCAAACAGATTCAAAAACTAGCAGAAGGCAAGAAATAACTAAGATCAGAGTAGAACTGAAGGAGATAGACTCAAAAAAACCCTTCAAAAAAATCAGTGAATCCAGGCAGTGGTATCTCACCTTTTAAGTACTTATTTATAAAAACTGCTCTGAGTTTTCCTCCTGGAATCGGGGTAAAGACAAATAAGGAGGGGCCACGGGGGCTCATGCCAGTTGTCCTGGCGCTTGAGGAGGTGAGGCTATGCATTTGAGGCCAACCAACCTGGGCAACATAAGAACCTCTCATTCATTAAAAAAAAAAAAAAAAAAAAGGTAAAATTTTATATGCTTTCTTGTAGTATGTCTTATTTTTAAAAGAAACAAATAATTTTCTTCTCTTCCTTTAAAAGACTACCTTTACTGCATAAAAGACAATAATATTTGATTCTCTAAAAATTTTTTAGTTTATCTGTAGCAACTTGACCATTTTAAATGCTGTCTTATAAAATAATTATAATTATAAAAAATTATATAAAATAATCTAATAATTATTATTATAATTATTTTCCAAAGGCACATATTGAATAACTTTAAACAAAAAACAAACATTTTTCAAAATAAATGTAAAGTGATATTTTACAGCCTGAGACAGGATTGTTCTTTGTCTTCATCTGGGAGAAAAAATGACTTAATTCAAAATTTTAAATATTATACTCAGAAATTATTCAACATATTAAAATATCTTCACTATGCCTTTTCTCTGAAGACTTAAAATTACTGTGCTTTTAAATTATCACAACATTAACAGTTCCAATCACTTCAGAGTTGCTTCAAGCATCATTATGTCCCTAAGAGAAAATTGAACTAATGTCCTCAAACAACACAGTGTTTATTAACTTAAATAACCATTATAAATGAGAATGGAATCAGGCAATCTATTACAGGAGCATTTGGTGTCGAGCTGATAAGGGCTCTCACATAATTACATATATAAACGTGGAGTAATCATTTTTATTAAAGGTGGTGCAAAAGTAATTGCGAGTTTTGCCACTGCAAAACTGCAAATTACTGCCAAAACTGCAATTAGTTTTAGCGCCAACATAATTCACTAAGAAATATACCCAAATTTTATGCCAAGGTTTTTTTTCCTGTCTTCCCAGATTATACTTAAAAATCAACATCTGATACAAAATTCAATGTATGGAATATTTGTTTCCTATTAATATTAGAGGTATGAATTCTATATTCATAGACCATGTGATTTTTGTCATAGCAATAATTAAAATACTTTAATATGCTTAGGACTCCTTAATAATGTACACTATTATTTTTAACCCTGAATTGGGTAATACTTGTTTCTTACTCAGAATTAGATAGTATTTTTATATCAGAACCTGAAGTAGGCATATATTAACTCCATTTGACAGGAAACCAAGCCCCAAAGAGGATAAATGCTCCATCCTGTTGGGAGTCAGGCTAGGTATAGAATGTAAGACTGCAGAAGACATTTGGCAACATAATGAGCCTATTAGGATTCAGTGGCATGAGTTATTGGGGGAGAAACAGGAAACAATTGCATTCCTTTTGAGATAAGTATATGTAAGTTTAGTCACTTATAGCTATTTGTAGTATATTGAATATTTTCTAAAATGTATAATATTCATCTCCCCATTATTCTCAAATTCCCTGATTTTCCTATGACCAAATGTGTATATGTGCTGATTTTTCTGTTTATTACACAGCTTCTAAGGTCTGTAAAGTAACTTTTCATCTCTGTTTTAGTTTGTGCCATTCAGGGATTATATTGACAGAAGCGGAAACCATATATTGAGCATGGCTAGATTGGCTAAAGACGTCCTAGCTGAGATCCCTGAGCAGTTTCTCTCCTATATGAGAGCCCGAGGAATCAAGCCATCACCTGCGCCTCCCCCATACACCCCACCTACACATGTGTTACAGACTCAAATATGACTGCACTCTCAAATGCTAATGTCAACTACACATCAGTTAGAACTGCTGAGTTAATGCTTTGTGCCTGGTACTCTGTAATGAACCAGGCAATGGGATACTTTTCTCAGTTTGGTTTCAGCAGTACTGGTTAATGTGCTTTCTTGGATCCAAAATTAGTTCTCTTCCTAAACCAAAACTGTAAATATGGTTGTTGCATGAGCAACAGAAAAATTGTTTAAATGCTTGAAGCAGAGTATGGATGTCTTACCTAATTTTTTCTTTTCTTTTTTTTTTTTTTTTTTCTTGGACAGACACAGCTAATTTCCAATGCACTGTTGGGAAAAAGCACAAACTATGTTTTTAACTCAAATATTGTCTTTGACTGCTACGTGTATAGGAAAGCAGTCTCTGTATCAATGTTTACATGTTACTACTTTTTACATTTCAATACTTTTATAACTGTTCTTAAGAATAAAAGTTTTGAATACGAAATCGTTTGTCTTCTAAATTGCAATAGCTATAATCACAAGAGCAATATCTCTTTGAAAGACTGTCTGGACAAACACAGTTGCAAATAAGGGAAGGGAAAAATGCTTTTATATTTCTCAGTAACTGGATTGTCTTAAGAAGCCACATCTGCTTAATAATCAGTTTCTCAGCAATGTTTGCTGAGTTTGGGGAGTTAAGCCTGGCAGATGTGTCTCCTGGTTGGACATGCATTTTTCATGGAGTTTGGTTTCTAAATTTAGACTGCAGCTGGTTTGTGTTTTATAACACTAAGGAGAAATTACAAAAAGTCAAACATTGTGATCTATAAATGCACAGAAAATACTTTGTAAAAAGTAGCATCCTTAGATAATAATGATATTTAGAAAGCCTGAAACCAAGAATATTTAACTGTGAACCATGTCACAGATGTTTTAAACTTTTTATTCCATTATATCTTGTCTAGATATTTTAATTCAAAGGGATACTGGCTCTCTTGATTGGGATTTCTGGTTATTACCATTCCACATTGCCACGCAAGGTGCACAGGCTGGAAGTCTTTTGAGAAATTACCAGTTAAATAAATATATACAACTATGTGACTTAGTGCACAACACATTTGTGAAATAAACTACTCCTATATACTGACCTGCCTGTCCACAGTTAATTGTAAAGAGTTTTTGCATGTACAGTTTTTATAAGAATTACAGTTTTGTGAAGTTATGTCTAAATTAAAGCATTTCTTTAGAACAAATGGCCTTAAATTCTCACAGAATTCCTGGAAATGATTGTGAATTGCCTTCAAATAATAGAAAAGTGTATTTATTTATGTGTGTGTATGTAACTGCTTTATATTTTTTCCTTACCTATATATCCTATTTAATACTTGGTTTATTTCTACTGTACATTGTTTTCTTTGTCCCAAGTTGACCTAGGATGACTTTTATAAGCATGAAACTATTTTACTGGAAAGAAAAATATGTACATCCACATATCTAACAGTATCAATGTTACATAACTATGTAATTCTCAATTGTCCATTTTTAATTATGTATTAAAATCTTTAAATCATGCCTGTTTGCTTTGTACATTTTATGTATGAATTACAATGGAGTTTGATGTTTCCCTTTACTGATCTTAAATATTTATGCCAGTACAGTGTATTAACCTACAGATTTTAAAATTTACTTTTATTGATCAACCCGAAAACACAAAAATAAGATCAGTATTCTTTTCTTGCCAAACATCAGTTATGTTTTTGAACTGTCCAGAGTAAACAAAAGTTGTACAATTCCTTGTATAAATAATAGTTTTCTCAAACCTAATGGCAGTAAATGCCCAGGAATGAAGCAATTTCGTTTTTTTTTTTTTTTTTTTTTTTTTTTTTTTTTTTTTTTTTTTTTTTGAGATGGAGTTTCGCTCTTGTTACCCAGACTGGAGGGCAATGGCACGATCTCGGCTCACCGCAACCTCCGCCTCCTGGGTTCAAGCAATTCTCCTGCCTCAGCCTCCCAAGTAGCTGGGACTATAGGCGCGCACTACCATGCCCAGCTAATTTTTGTATTTTTAGTAGAGACGGGGTTTCGCCTTGTTGACCAGGATGGTCTCAATCTCTTGACCTTGTGATCCACCCGCCTCGGCCTCCCAAAGTGCTGGGATTATAGGCGTGAGCCACCGCGCCCGGCCAGCAATTTCTCTCCACAAATATTATCATTTATGTGGTGGAGAATGATAATCAGAAACTTACATGATAATTATATATGTAAGATTAGAAAATACTTAAATCTTGTGCGTTCATTGTAAAAATGTAGAAACCAAGATTGGGGGGATTAAGCAGTTTATCCAAGACTATGTAACTAGAGAGGAGCTCATTATTGGAAATGTTATAACCACTTACATTTTGTTAGATGCTATGCAATAGAAAATTCCACTGACATGCTCCATAAAGGCAAACACATGCTAATAGTTATACATACAAACTGGATATCAGGGATATTCACACTTAAGGTTATGAACAATGAGAAAGGTGTGTATTGAGAAGGGGTGATAGATTCAAGTCATTAAACCTGCTGCAAAAATCAGTCTTCAAGTGGTGCCCTCAAGAACCCCAAAGATCTTACGTACTATCCTGTCTTTCTAATCCCATTTCTTTCCTCTATAATGAAAGCCTTTAATTATCATTTGAATTCCAGGATGAACTCCTGGTGTTATTTTCAAGTACGTCCATCATCTGGTTTTGCTCAGTTACATAATACCCATTCCAATTGCTTCTCAAATGAATATTAAAACTAACCAGGCCTACCTCATTCCTTTTCCACAACCACTGAGTTTATCTGGAGTCTGTCTACAGTGTTCATACTTCATTCTTTCATTAGGCCCTTTCCTCTGTTCTTCACCTGAGGATATCCTTTGCACTTTCCAACTCAAGCCCCAACTCCTCTGAACCTTGTTCTTCAAAACTTCAGTGCTAACAATAATCAGTACCTTCTATGAGCTCATATTTGTATTGCATTTTAGCATATTAATTGCCTCAGATTACTTTTAAACTATTTTACTTTATCTGGGGTATCCTGTCTCTCCATCCTTATAGAATAGTATTTAATGGCACCTGAATATAGGCCCATTTTAAAAGCTTCCCAGTGAAATTGCTGCAGTTAAAGAGTATTGGATGACTCAGTTACTACTTTTTAAATGATCTCTTCCAACATGCAATACTGAGAGAAAAGAATAGGTAGATGTGACTCTGGTGGTGGTGAAGTGGGAAGAGAAGGGGTTCGGAATTAGGGTTGGAGCGCAGGTTATTTTGTTCTTCAGGCTCAGGGAAGATAATAGATGGACTCATGTACTTTTTATTACTGTGTCATCATCAGCTTAGGAAATACCTCTCACAAAGATGAGGTAGGTGTGGTTATTTCTTAGGGGATCTGAAATGCCAAAGATTTCACTGAAAGCATGCTTTTTCTTTCAGCTTGTGTGAATTTTTTAGTTACTTAAATGCCTTTGTGTTACATATATCTGTAATTGAGAGAAAGTGATCAGATTCTTCATAAAAACTCAGAGTAAAGAATCATTTTGGGATTAGCACAAATCAGATACATTTGAGTACATGTGGAGTATTACCTCATGAAGAGGGAAAAAAAATGGAAATCTACTTGCAAAACATCACACTTCAGCAGAGCTTTCTCATCAGTGTATGGGGTGGTACATAGTGCCTCAGGTAATTGGAGCTCCTTTGACTAACCTCAGGATATTTTAACAAACATTCCCAATTTTAATGTGTGTCTTGAAATGTAGGGAAGCACTGCATTACAGAGATTATTTCTTAAATAACTTATGCTTACAACAAGTTCTGACTTCATTTTTTCCTACTTACATTCCCTAGCATAGTTATACTAAAATTAAATTGAAAGAGTATTCACATACAATTCCATGACAAATGTATTATAGCAAGTAAAGTCCAGAGAATTGAGGCATGAATGTTCTCGTGAGAATTTTGTTTGCATTAATCACGTATATCTTTTTACAATGCATTATTGAATTCCCAAGAAAATTTTCTTGCCTTTTTCATCACCATCTTTATAAACGTCCCACTACTCACAGAAATCTGTGTATCACCAAATGACCTAGAGGACATTAAAGCATACAGTCAAAGAGATTCAACCTTATTTCCTTAGAATAAGCACGGTTCTAGAAGACATCCTCTTCTCCCCACCATGACTTCCCCTTACCCTACTTTCCCACCAACTCTCACTCCATTTGCTCTACTGATAGCTGAGCATGATTTAATAGGCAAAGTCTTTCATTTTACAAAATATAGGGTTGTGCTGGGATCAGATACATGGATCTTAAGCACATTTTAAAAACATATTGACATAATTCTTTGTACCAAATTTTTTTCTAAAAAGCTTTCTTCATCAGATATTTTACTAAGATATGATTTTGATAAGGGAAGACTTGGTATATCATGAACATACACGTTTTAAAGAGCTTCCTTTGGAAACGTGAAAGGGGAAATAGAGAAGCAACAAACACGAGGATTTTTTCATGAGTGATTGCCTAAACTATGTTTATAATGCTTCAGAGATGACTATTCTAGCAACGCTCACCGCCTAAATTTCAAGTTTTATAACCTGGAATAAGGAGATACAAATAGAAATACTTTTCCAACACAGAGCCCGTAACAAAATTATTTTTCTTTAAATTGATATGACCCCCCCTCACCTCCAGCTACCATTTTACTATATAGAATCCTACTTCTTAGCCTTTAGGCAAAATGTGGAACATAATAGTTCTAATTCATATCACAAACTTCCGAGCAATATTTGAGGCAACATATTCATACCTCATCAGGGTTATTGCTTACCTCATACTTCATCAGTGCACCCCCAACCCCAAAAGCTAACCTTGCTCTTACTTTCTGAGCTCTAGAGATGTTCTGAATGTCAAACTCTAAAAGGAAGATGACACTGAACTCTGACTATGGCAAAAGCAAAAGCAAACTGATCTAAGGCTTTGCTCATTTTGTTTTGAAGCAATAGTAGACATGACCTCATGATTTTCTCACCACAAAGTTATCCACTGATTTAATTTCCATGAAACAGTCCTGCTGGGCATTCCTAATGTATTTAGATAAGCTGATTTCATACAGATGGGATTTGCTATCAGTCAAAGGGATGGATATCATTGACCTTACAAATTAGAGGGAAGGATGAAGGGAGGGAATATGCTTAGTGTTGGCTTAAAAATAGCTACCCTTTCAAAGATCTTCTCCTTACTAAATATGTGAATTAAAAGAAGCTGTAAAACTGATTCAGTAATTTTGACAGAGAACAACCAGTTTGTTAACGCTTACAATTTTTACAAGATAATGCTGACAGCAACAAAGCACCTTTCAAATCTTTAAAACAGTATTTAAATCAGAATCTGCTTAAAATTCACCAAACTATTTCACTATCACTTTCAACCACAGCAAAAGGCATATGCTGTAATTTAGACATTGGCAAATTTGACAGGCACTTTAGATGACAATTCCTCACCGGATTTCAAAGAAAGCGGGCAATCCCTGAGAAAATGAAATGACAATCACTAGAAACCACTTTGGGTCAAGTATCAGCTTTTAAATCCCTAAACATTATATGGACCTAACCCATCTCCCTTAAATAAAATCTGTGACATCCATTTGCAAATCTTGAGATAGGTCATTAGATCACAGTCTTGAAAGATGAATTATAGGTGCCTTTTACCTTTCATTTATTTTCTGAGGATATCTTGGTTTTTTTTTTTGGAGGTGTAGTCTCACTCTGTCACCCAGGCTGGAGCACGGTGGCATGATCTTGGCTCACTGCAACCTCCACCTCCCAAGTTCCAGCAGTTATCCTGCCTCAGCCTCCCAAGTAGCTAAGACTACAGGCACCCACCACTACACACATCTAATTTCTGAATATTTAGTAGAGATGGGGTTTTACCATGTTGGCCAGGATGGTTTTGATCTCCTGACCTCATGATCTGCCCACCTGGGCCTCCGAAAGTGCTGGGATTAGAGGCACGAGCCATTGTGCCCAGCCTATCTTCTCATTTCAATCAATAATTTGAAACCCACATCTGAAGTTATATATGTGCTTGGTATCTTCTATAAGCTGGTTATAAAATTGCTAGAAGTTTCAATGGAAGAAGTGTGACTCATCAATGTGTCACATGCTGAGAGTCAAAAAACCTGAGTTTCCATCTTGGCATTCTAATTTTGGGAAAACGCCACATAAATGTTGAACTTGATTTTTACTATTCATATAATATGGTGATATTCCCAAGGGTCCTTAAAGCACCCTCTTTCTACAGTTCTCTCAAGGACAGAGGTTAACTTTAATTGAAGCAACCTGGCATCTTGGCTGTTTAATAGTGAGCTGGGAGGAGGTTATTAAACAATATACTGAGCTATAAAGTATCTTCTTATAGATTGTGCAGCAAGATCTGTTTCTTATCTTGCAATGCAGATTCTTAGCCATTACTCTAAGTCAGTCTTGTATTCTCACCATATTTCTTTTCACCTTAGAATTAGGAGGATACGGGAAAGCTGGGAGGAAATACCAAAGTCCCACTCTTCTGTGAAGGTCTTTGAGACCATCTGTATGTGTCCCCATGCTTGTGTCACTCAAAAGAGGGCTTCTGGACACATAGTGATGGTCTAGATGCTCAGCAGGTGTTTTCTCTATTCTCTTTAACGACTTGCCTGAA